CATCACTCGCCAGAATGGCAGACTTGGGAATTAAGGTCAGCATAGCAAAAAACGAGACGCACACCAGACACACCAGAAGACTTGTTAATCAACATAGAACTGGTACTATTAGCCATCGGACATTGGGGTTCATGCTGAGGGGAGGATCTGAGCACCTATGGACACGTCCGAAGTGCAATGATGATAACCCAACTAACTAACTAACTCACTGAAAACTACGACATGTGATTCACAACATGTAAGGACATCACAATTAAGATATTAAAAATATCAGGATTTATTAACAAAATGCAAATTAGTATGAAATAAATGTGACACCTCCTCTTATGCATCTGTTAACACTTTCAGTCCCAAGCAAGACATGATGTATGATGGACTCACCACAAATCCCAACCACAGTGCAGTGCTTTCATACATATTTTACATATGGCTAGAGTACACTAAAGAAATCTGGCTTTCTACAGTGGCCACTTCTACTGTGAGTTTAAAAGTTCTATAGTCATGAAATTTCATAGTAATGGGTTCTCCTTTGAGGTGTCTGCTGCAAAACCAAATCGGACTGAAATATTTAAGTCCTTTTTATTGTAATCTGTAGACAATATTAGTGCTGCAACTGTCGGTAGCCGAGCTGCAAAATTTGGTCCCTTTTGGCAGACACACCTGACTTCCCAACATTAACTGTCAGAGTTAGCCTTCCATAAAAGAATTCTGGAATATGAGTTGAAAAGTGCGAATGTAAGTGTTTTGAATCAGCACTTTGTCAAATATATCAAATCCATTCAAAAACTATTTTAGAGGTGTTGGTAGTTGAAAACAGTCTAAATCTACAACTACAAGAAAGAGGCAGACAGTGTTCTCCTGCCACATGATGAGAAGAGAGGCAGTGGAGATATTACGATGACTGGAAAGATCAATGGGAGATGAGTCAGAAAAAGACCAAGGAAGATGATGCCTGACGTGGTGGCATGATGGAATATAATTTGTTGATTTTAAAAAGAGAGAACTGTGAAACACGAGCACCTATGCCACTCGGCAGGGCACATGCTAACAATGATTATGAGCCTGACTCTGCTGCTCAGGTACAAATTTATAACTGAGAAAATCTATTAACAAAAGAATATTTTTAGCATGTATTTTTCTCCTTTTTTAGAGCAAAATGCACGCCTATGGAGATATTCATCTGCAAAAGATGGGACCATTTGCACACACATAAAACTAACACTCATAGGGCTTCACTGTTCCTCTTAACAAATTTGAAGCAGTCATTTGTCGGCTTCTACTTGTGGTCTTCTTATTTTTCTTCTCTACCTTTCTAACCCTCAATGGAGCATAGGCCCTCAACCAACTCACAAGTCGTTCTATCCTTCACTATCACAGGAAGCCCAACCCATTATTTTAACTTCACTCTCTAGCTCACTTCTCCGTGTGTGTTTTTTTTTGGGTCTCCTTTATTTCTATACCCCTGTGAGTTCCAGTACAAAGTCAAATTGTTCTCAGGTTTTCTTAATGTGTGTCCTATCCAACACCAGCATCTTTTCTTCACCTCTTGGTCCACTGGAACTTTTGTTCTCTCCCAAAACTCTACATTAGCGATTCCGTCATACTATCTAATTCCCTCTGTTCTGCGCAGGCAACAGTTAATAAATGTCTGTAGTTTATCAGTGAATGCTGTAACTCTACCAGGCCATTAAGTGAAATTTCACCAAACACAACTATCAAATTATAAATACACAGTTAACAAACAACAAAAACTCTGGTACCTCCTCTGTAGCAATACACACATACACCCCGTGCTTTTGGTCCTTTTGGAGCTGGGGAAAGAATGACATTAATGACATTATGTTTTAAGACACAACAAATTGGCTTTTTTTTTTAAAGATGAGAAGGACATGGGTAAAGCTGCATGCAATAGCAAAGGTTAGAACGACATGGTGTGAGTTGGTTAAGGGCCTCTGCTCCACTGGGGGTTAGAAAGGCAGTCAAAGAAATCACTAAGCACTGACTATAACGACATACAGCCTCATTATCCAAGTCTCCATAGAACCAAGCTCAATACGGCTAGAATCCTGGTTAAGCGATTTAAAAACCTTTCAGCAATGGAAATGTGGCATTGCAGAAAAATAGTAAACCTAACATGGACCAACAGCAATGTGTAATCTAACAGTTTTTTTTTGTTTTTTTTTTAACAGAGACAAAGACAGGAAACATCATAAACATGAGAAGTAAACTGTCAACATTATGATTTTGTATAACAATATTAAACAAGATTTGCAATATAATGTAATAACAGGTAATATTTTTTGAAAAGCGGATGAGATTGAGCAATGAGAGAAGATTCTAGAAATTCCTGCACCACAGCATGAATAATAATAGCATGTGAACTGGGACACTGTGCTAGAGAACAAGAGCTGTGGACAGGCACTTGATAGTGATGATAATCACATACATATTTCCAGGTGGGTTTGGGGCACGACTGTGTGTCAGTGGGAGGGAGAAGAACTTACCCTCAACAAGCATGTCGTAAATGCTGACTAACTAGGGTGTTGTCTTCGAAGACAGGGTTAATCTTCCTGACCAGTGAGGAACCAACAGTCTGCACACAAACAAGCCAAATCTGTAAAACGGATGAGCTCTGAAACAAGACAAAGTCCAGAACTTTCTGCCCGAGTTCACAGCCAGGGAACACAAACAATGAAGAAGATACTCACGTATAATCCCTTCGGATTTCTTCAGAAAGTCATGATCATCTTGGTAATGCTCATGCACAGGTGAATTTTGATAACCAGTTGGTAATGGCTTTTGGTGATAGACTAAGTTCTCTTGACTTGCATAATGGCTACGTGCTGATAAGAACACAACACATAAAATTATGCCCTATCAAACTTTATAGCTGATAACAGATTAAATTACTCACACCCATCAAACTTTATAATTTATACTGCCTATGCAGCCTACACTCAAGACACTTGAACCCTGACTTTTATAATGTGCTACTGCTACAAAATATAGATCGGTAATTTTCAAAATGTGTTTCTGATGCTTGAGAGTATATCCAATTTAGTCTGTTCATCTTCAGATGCTGCAAACCAAACACTTCTAGATGAATCCAGTGCCCCATAAATGTCACTTTCAAACCTGTCTAAAAGTATCATATTTTATAAGACACATAACTAATCTATTGGCTGTTTTCGCACCCGCAGAAATGTTTAGGTCAGGATATGAATACATTTGCAATCAAAAATAGCATTATGGCGGTTTTCCTTTTCGCCACACAGCTCTTTATAACGCCAAGTTGATGATAAATTTTCCTGTATGCCTCAGTAACATGTCGGTGACATATTTGACGAAATATGCGTCATGGCGTCAAATTCTCAAAGAGATTTTGGTGATCATATTTATCATTTTTTTGTTGCTGCGGATGATTTTCTTGATTTGATTTTTCTTTGCAGTGAAGGTATTGTTTAACTAAGCAGTTTGATGACTCTGGCTTTGACAAATTTAATAAAGTGCCATCAAAAACATCACCGACAGTTCACCAACACTTTAAAGTCAAGTCCAAGACTCAACTAGCATTTACATCTTCAGTAGCAAAACGCTTGTGCTGCAGTTTCAAATACTGATAGTTCTAGTGAAAGTATTCATTCACAGCCTGTTCATTCTGAAGATAGTGTGTCTGGGCCTGCACATGACGAAGATATCATTGTCACCATTGATGCAGAATGTTCATCTGACGAATCCAGAGATGATTTGATACCACCCCCCTCCCCCCCCTCCAATTGGTTGATAAATGGCATTGTGATTTGCAAGGCTCTTTTTTCCTGAAGTACTCCCATTTACAAAGAAGGTGTTCTCCAATTAATTTGGAGCAAAAATACAAAACATGATAAGTGTACGCTATAGTTAGTTAAATATGTGTGAAGCTATAGCATTTTTATTTTAGCACACACTCAAATGTGTGGTATCTGAAAAAGTGCAAGGGGTAAAGGGCTTGGTAGTAAGTGGGTTAATCAACTTCTATTGCAATCAGAAAATTCAAGATTAATCAGTCAATATTCTAAACAATTTTATCTGTTTCTTCATTCTGTTAAGTTTTCTACCAAACACATAT